AATTTTAAATTTGTTTTTTGGTTGAAGATAAAAATTATTATTTTTATGTTATTTGTAAAAAAAAAAATCATTGTAATTTTATTAGTGTAATAAGAAGATTTATTATATATTTTTATTTTTTGCATTTTGTGAAGAATTTTGTTTATGGTGATTGACATATATTCTTCCACACACGCATCATGTCAACAACATTAAAAAAAAATTAGTATATATAAACTTCATGAGACCAAAAAAAAAAATCTCCGTACATGAGCACAAAAAAAAACTCCGCAAAGTGCGGAGAGATGACAAACTATCTTTCCACACAGTGTGAAGAGAAAAACAAAAAGTCTCAGGACTTTATCTGCAAGTTCCAAGAGGCCTTTTCTCAAAAAACTTTTAAGCAATGCATTGAACACTTTAATTCCTGGCCTACAACCCAAAAGTATATTTTCATTAAAAATTGTATCCAATTCTAATGTCCAAGAGCTGTTATCAAGCAAGTGTAAAATATTGAATTTGGATGGTACCCTAGAACATCTATATGTGAAAGCAATATCATGATACTATTAATATCTCATTTTTTGCACAACTCACATATTGTTTCATTATATGAATCACGGGAAAGCTCCTTTCCAATACCATAAATATGATTTGCATGCTCAGAAATTGAGTTGTGACTGAAATTTAAAGAAGACATAATTGATTTTGAGCCATGTTTTTCGATTCTGTTTCGTTGTATATATGAAAAATTTATAATCTTGAAATTTGACTTGTAATTAAGGAATTTGAAAACAACTCTCTGCACTGTACGGAGAGTTTTTTTTCTCTCTGTACTGTGCGAGGAGTTTCTTTTTATTTCACGCTGTGCGAAGAGTTTGCCAACTCTCCACACATGGTTCAACTTTCTCTGCAAAAACCTCTCCGCACTTTTTTTTTGCTCCGCAGATGGTTCAACTCTCTCCGCACTGTGCAAAGAGATTAACTCTCTCCACACAGTGCGGAGAGTTTTTTTTTGCTCCGCACTTTGTGAAAAGTTTGCCAACTCTCCACACATGGTTCAACTCTTTTCACACTGTGATGATATTTTTTTTCTCTCCACACATTTTTTATTTTTACTCCACACTGTGTGGAGAGTTTTTTTTTTCCAATATTACAATATTGAATTACACAAAATTTAGAAATATAATTTTCACATTCAATTCAATCATATCAACACACTATCAAAAAATACAAGCAAAATAGTTTGTATATTTTTTATTCAAGCATGAAATATACAAGCATATTTTTTCTAGATAACATACTGCTTTACAATTGTAAAAATAATTTACAATTAATTTTTTATATCATGGAAATATTTTTAAATATTGCTTCAAAAACTTTCCAAAAAAATTAAAATTTATACACTAATAAAAATATTATAAATACAAAATTCGTGCAACGCACGTGATAGCGACTAGTACATAACTTGTTACCGACGTAAATAGCGTCACAGAAGACCGTAATTTTGCATCATGATTCATGAATCCGTTCTTCTAATCTTTCAATTAGTATAACAAAAGCAAATTAAATATCCTTTTTTTTAAAAAAATAAAAATAAAAATTGACTCGTCTTTATTAATTACTTTTAACTCTGATTCAAAAAATCTAATATTAACCCTGAGGGATAGTTCAGTGGTCAGGCATTGAGTTTACTCCCCAATGGTCACCAGCTCGAGTGCCTTAGAGTCCTTGAGGTAGGTATCTGACTGTAAACTTTAGTACCCCATGGGATTAGTCGAGGTGCGCGTAAACTGGCCAGGACACTCGTG